CTGTACAACACTGCACAGCACTGCACATCGCTGTACAACACTGCACAGCACTGCACATCACTGTACAGCACTGCACAGCACTGCACAGCACTGCACAACACTGTACAGCACTGCACAGCACAGCACAGCACTGCACAGCACTGTACAACACTACATCACTGCACAGCACTGCACATCACTGCACAACACTGCACAGCACTGCACATCACTGCACTGCACTGCATTTCACAGCACAGGCAGGGAGGAGAAGAAGCAGCTGTTTTGGTCGTTTTAAATATTTATGTGATTGCTAAGTTGTTTTGATTGATTATGTTCCTTACGGACCTGACGCGGCTCACTTACGAGTGCAGAAGTCATACAGGCCTGCAGAGACAGACAGCTGAATCATGGTATAGACAGCGTGAAGCATGCTGCGTCTGCCCTCCCCAGAGGACTGGGACAATACTGTGAAGATTTGTAGACTGCATGCACGTGGATCACTAGGTCTTTGCAAAGTGAATGGGATGAGGGTGTACTCCTGCTTTCACTGTCCTTATTAGTAATTCATTCTGTGCATTTCTGTAGTGCTTTTCCAACCCTGCACACTGAAGCAAACCGGTTTTCGTTAATGGGCTTCAGTCTCGGTTCGTCCCAGGACCCACCTGTGATGTGAATGTGAGCGAGAGAGTGAGCTGTCTCCCTTGTCCTGCAGGCGGACCCCACTCCCAGTTCTCTGCCGAGTGGAATGCGTTCTCAGCGGCCCTGGTCACTGTGGGCTTCTCTGTGCTGATGGGTGAGTCCAGACCAGTCCGGAGCGCAGTTCTCTCCGTGCCCGTGGGTGAGTCAGACCAGGAGAGAGCCCAGTCGTAGGGCCATCGCCACGGAAGGCCAGGCGATACCACCAAGAGCCCAGCTTCCCGTTATTAACGGCCATCCCACTGGGACTGTTCACTCTGAGCTGAACGGTTTTACGCTTTTCATTAGGGGCCGGAAAAACGTTTGTGAGCCGTTGGAACGTCACGGTGTCGTAAGTCTTGTCAGGCTCGGCACAGGTGTGGTGTGATCCTGCTGCTCAGTGTTGGGCAGCTGTGGTTCTGACTCTGTAAGAGTGCGTCTGGTGTGGAGGCGTGGCAGGCGCTCTGTGCTTCAGAGCAGCGGCCTCGTCTCCGCCCTGCTGCGGCCTGCGGGTTCGCGTGTGCTGGCAGGAGTGTCTGCTCGACTGGGGCGGGCCCCCGGGGGAGGTGGGGCTCCTGTGGGGGGCGCCGGCGAGCACCGCTGACTGTGCCGCCTCTTCGCGCCTCTCTTGCAGTGAACTACCGGGGCTCCACGGGGTTCGGGCAGGACAGCATCGTGTCTCTCATCGGGAACATGGGGAGCCAGGACGTCAAGGACGTGCAGGTACTGGGGAGGAGACGAGAAAGGCCTAGGTGGACAGACGGGAAGAGGGCAGCGTCCGGCCCGGGCACGTCCGAGCGCCGGACACGCCTTGGAGCTGACAGGAAACGTTACAAAGTGGGGAGTACCGTACAGCTGTGCAGATAAAGTGGGCAGCACAGGTCTGTCCGTGTGGAGCTTGCATGTTCTCGCCACCTTCATGCAAAGTCTGCAAAGGGAGTCCGATTTGTGGTACAGGACGGTCAGCCTGTCCATGACACCCCCTCCCCCCAGTGTGGGGAGACCCTTGAGAGGCTGAGCTGAGAATCTCGCAGGCGGCTGTTGACCCCCCCCCTCTCCTCCCCTGCGCCCCAGAGAGCCGTGGTGACCCTCCTGCAGAGCGACGCGACCCTTGACCCCCGCCGAGTGGCCGTGCTCGGGGGTTCCCACGGCGGCTTCCTCGCCTGCCACCTGGTCGGCCAGTACCCCGACTTCTACCGCGCCTGCGCCGCCCGGAACCCCGTCATCAACTACGCCACGCTGCTGGGCACCAGCGACATCATCGACTGGTGAGCTTCAGCCGGCAGGGCTGGGCAGGGCAGGGGCAGAACAGGGCAGAACAGGGGAGAGCAGGGCAGGGCAGGGCTGGGCTGGGCAGGGGCAGAACAGGGGAGAGCAGGGCAGGGCAGGGGCAGAGCAGGGGAGAGCAGGGCAGGGCAGGGCTGGGCTGGGCAGGGCAGGGGCAGAACAGGGGAGAGCAGGGCAGGGCAGGGGCAGAACAGGGGAGAGCAGGGCAGGGCAGGCGCATAACAGGGGAGAGCAGGGGCAGAACAGGGGAGAGCAGGGCAGGGCAGGGGCAGAGCAGGGGAGAGCAGGGCAGGGCAGGGCTGGGCTGGGCAGGGGCAGAACAGGGGAGAGCAGGGCAGGGCAGGGCTGGGCTGGGCAGGGGCAGAACAGGGGAGAGCAGGGGAGAGCAGGGAAGAGCAGGGAAGAGCAGGGCAGGGGCAGAGCAGGGGAGAGCAGGGGAGAGCAGGGCAGGGGCTCTCTGGCCACGCGCACATGGTCTCTCACTGCCCGGGGTCACTTCCGACACGCGGAGCGCTCCGGTTGACCAGGATGGGGGTCGGCTGCCGAGGAGCCCCCGTGAACGGCGCTGTCGCTCTCGCCCCTCCCAGGCGCTACACCGCGGCGGGTCTGCCGTACTCCTTCGACCAGCTGCCCACCGCCGACGCCCTGGCCGCCATGCTGGAGCAGTCCCCCATCGTGCACGCCCCCCAGGTCAGCACACACACGCACACACACACACGTGCACATGTGTGTCCATGAGTGAGAAGAGTGTGTTTGCTCGAGGGTGTGTTTGTGTGTTTGTGTGTTTGTGTGTGTGTGTGTTTGTGTGTGTGTTTGTGTGTGTGTTTGTGTGTGTGTTTGTGTGTGTGTGTGTGTGCACGTGAGGGGCAGGGTGTGTGCTCTGCAGTGTGTGCTTGTGCGAGGACGTGTGAATTTTAAGAGATGTGAAAAAAGCTGCTCCCTCTCTCAGTACCTGTTTTTCACTGATAAATGGCTTCAGCACAGTCAGTATTTGCTGTTCCGAGCGTCCTGCTGTCTGACGGGCCTCCGTGTCTCTAGATTCGGGCTCCGGTCCTCCTGATGCTGGGAGGGAGAGACAAGAGGGTGTCTCCACACCAGGGGCTGGAGCTGTACCGGGCGATGAAGAGCAGGGGCTCCCCCGTCAGGTGAGGGCTGGAACTGCAGGAATGACCTCGCAGTAGTCCTCTCGGGTCGGAAAACCCGAGGACGTCGGTTTTGTGTTCTGTTCCTTTTCGGGAGGCCGGGGGCGAGGGAGTCGGAGGGGGCCGGGCTGCCACATCCGGAACTCCACCCACCCTCACCCAGTGTGCGTGACCTTTGACCTTGAGGCTGACCTTTGACCCCCCAGGTTGCTGTGGTTTGAGGAGGACGGTCACTCCCTGTCTCGAGTGGACACCCAGTCCAGCTGCTTCGTCAACGTAGTCCTCTGGTTCCTCCGGCATCTGGACATCTGCTGACTGGTGCATCCCAGCACTCCGGGACGCTGGCGCTGTCCGAGCCCTGCGGGAATGCTCCTCTCCGGGAATTCTTCTTTTCCAGCCGGGACTCTGCAGCCCTCGGCGCTTCCTGTAACTGAACTGCACTGTCTCCGGATCCCTCTGGGATTCCTTTTTCTCCCGAAAACGGAGATGTCTCTGAGGCCCCAGAGTAGACAGCGGAGGGACATGTACTGATTTTGGATCGGTGGTGCTCCAGACGTCCTAGTGCTGTTAATCCGACTGTCTGGCTGGTCGGAGAGCTGGAGAGCTTTGCAGGAGCATGGAGGTCAGGTTTGTGTCTGCAGTGTAGCCTTGTCGCCTTAGGCCAGAGTTTCTTCCGTACCCCTGGCAGTCAGTGTGTGGGTCGCCCCGCCATCAGTGGGGAGTCACCACAGAGATTTGAGCTGTGGTTCACCAGAATGGATTACTCGCAGAGCACCATGGAATGAGGAGAGCGGGATTTAATATCCCCCACGGAATGATGACGATGAAGACATTCCTATCGCGGCCTGGACTTGTTCCTCGTCTTCCTTTGCGGCCACCAGGGGGCGATGGCGCTCTTCACACGAGTTTCCCCTCCTGTTGCAAACACTGCAGCGTGTTGTAAGGCGCAACGCTTTAAATAAACAAGACAGTAACGTTAACGGCATTAAAACTTTTTTTTTTCCCCCTTGGGCTTTGAATCGGTCTTTGTGTGGTTTCGCCAAGTGCTTCTGCACCTTTTGTGTTCAACGGTGCGAGCGAGATGCAGACCCATCGTGCTGACGGCGGTGCCCCTGTGTGGCTCCGGGCAGCAGGCCGGAGAGGTCAGAGCATCTGCTTAAAACGGCAAGTTAAAAGAAAAAAGAATAAGACATTTGGAGCCCTTAACAGAAAGCGGAAGAGGTGAAGGGCCTCTGTAACAGCAGCGACTGGTTCTGCAGGTGGGGGAGAAGCATTTATCACCTCAGATACAAGCTGCGAGGAGAGCGTTGTCTTTGTCGTTTTGCTCTTTTTCGTGTTTGCCATTTGCATCATTCTCTTTAGTGTTGCAAACGGGAAAAAAGGTCGTCGGTTTGGAGCATTGTGTTATGAGATCTTTATACTGCTGAAAACATTAACATTTGAAAGCTGTTGAGCTCATTATAACCGGAGTGTAATTATTTATGTTGGCAACATTCTTTCTTTTTTTGTTCTTCACGTCAGTGTGCCGTAATAGATGATTAAAATCGCCACGCCTTGCAACACAGGATTTCGAGACACCCCGGGGCGGCTACACGATATCGTCTGCGTTTGAGTGTTTAAAGCGCTTGTTGTCTTTAGCTTCTGATGGATTTGGAGGGATTTGCTTGGGGTTCAAGATTAATCTCCGGGGCGAGGCCCCGTTTACACGCGGTGGATGTTGGGCGTTCGAGCGCAGTTCTGTTTCGGTCCACAAGGGGGAGTGCCAGGGGGAAACAAAGAGCTGGCTGGTTCCTGGCCAAGCTGTCGTGTTCCGCTCCGCCCTGTCAGGAGGGGTCGGGCTGAGCCCACAGGAGAACCAGCAGAGCAGCCAGCAGCTCCGCTGTGCCTCTGACGCCTAAACCAGAGGACCAGCGCAGGTTGGGAAGGGGATGCGTGCTGTGTGGTGGTAGCACCCCCGCCTCACTGTAACAGCGCACCCCTGAGAGTGGTGCGGGTGCGCTCCTCACACTGGGAGCTGTGGCGCTCTTGTCCGGCGCCAGATCTGTGGTCATGCAGCAGAAGATGTGTCCGGATGGACTCGTGTCTCTTGCAGACCCGGCGTCCCCCAAGGGGGCACCTGTGTTGAGCCACCAGGGCGGCGCTGGAGGGGGGCTCCGCGCTCTGTAGTGTGGGCAGGAGGGAGGGGCGGCCCGTCCTGCGTGCCTGTGTGTCTTCCTGGCCTGTCAGCTCGGCGTAACGGATCGTCCCAGTAAGCAGCGCCGCAGAGCCTCCGTCTGTCACCTCGGGGAGGTGGAAGTTAGCTAATGCATGGAGTTTGGCAACCCTCTCTCCCGGTTCCATTCCTCAAGGGACTTGTAGGATCTCGGAAATAATGATTTAGAGTCCTGGGCCAGGCTTTCATAAATAACTGTATCAGCGAGTCGAAATCTTTTAAATCATCCAGGAAAAAAAAATTTATGGGCTAGGCAGCTTGAACTGATTTTCCTTGAACCGTTCTGTTTTGGGAGTTTGTAGAAGTTGTTTTTTCTTTTTTTTTTCTAGGTTAGCAGCAGATTGAAACCGTGCCTCCTCATGAAACTTTCCCTGTATCAAGAAAAACAGGATTTCTTTCGATTTGTGAAGGCCTTGCATGTGGAGTCGTCCTGGCTGGGATTCACACATGTAGTAATATATCTCTTGGATGAGAAACTTTCTTTTCCAGCAAACACTCCAGTGAGCCTGAATGTTGGTGAGCTGTAATTCGAGTGAATATGGAAACACGACACACTTTCAGAATTATTTTTAATTATTTGCCACGCTGTAGAAAACCTTCTATATAATTGAGTTATGGAGTAATTTACTCCAGTAATAAAAATCCCTAGCGTGTCTCCGATCAGCAAGTAGAGAAGAGTGGGAGAGTGGTTTAGGGAGTAAATGTTCGCTCTAGAAACCTCATGTATGTCTTGCTAAAACTGTATGCGTTAGCATGGGAACGATTGGCAGCTGCTTTCTGCTTACTGCCTCTGACTAATGAGAAGCTGGACAGCAGAGGTGAGGTTGGGAAACGTCAGCAGCCGTCGAAGCCCCAGGTGAGCTCTGGAGAACTCTGCACTCTGCAGATCTGCAGTCTGGGAGCTGAAGTCCATGTAGACACCCGATACAGCCAGCCAGCCAGCCAGCCCAGAGTGCTGACATTTCTACACTCGGAAACTTCTTTCCCCTCATCGGTGTGCAGTGCAGTGCAGTGGGTGCATCGTGGGTAACCCTCTGAGGGCGAGCGATCCCGAGCTCGTGGCCTTGGTTTCGCCTCGGCCCGCCGCCGTTCGTGTATCTCGACGGGTGTTCTGGCAGGCCCAGAGGCTGCAGAAGCGGGTGTGGGGGTCGTGACCTCTTCCCCTCGGCTAGCTGGTGGGGGGCGAGGGCGTGGGCGTTAACCAGGGGCCACACGTACGAGGCGTACCCCCTGTTTCAACGTAGCGCGGCTCATTTCGGATGAGGTGAAAGAGGCCGCAGTGACACAGGTGCTGAGGCCGGAACCGAGCCCCGCAGGCCACGCTGGAATTCCAGCAGCTCTGAAGGAGATCCCGGGAGTGGGTTTGGACTGCTGCTGCGTTTTTCCTGACCCGCTCCTGCGGCCTGTCGAGCCGCGCCGCCGCCAAGAGACCTTCGTTTTGCTGCAGAATGACTCTCCTCTTTCTTTCCCCTGCTGCAGTGATCTAACTGCGGACGCAGTGATTATTTTTCTAAGCGGCAGGAAGGGGGAGTACAATAAATAAGTGGCACATTATTGCCCTGGAATTTTTAAACAGCGTGGGCCCGGGTGCTCGTTCCCAGCGCTTCGATCTCCAGATACCGGCCCGCGGGCCTGACCGCGCGATGGGGGCTGCAGGAGTGACAGATGTAACCTTGTGCGCTGGCAGACTGTGGATAAACAAGTTCCTCCCCCCCCCCCAACCCCCCACCGGCGGGGGAGTTTCTCCGAATCGGGCTTCGTTTTGTTTGTAGATTTTGTTCCGAGTCGCGGGAACGAGGCCTGGCCGAGGACGCGAGCCGGTTCTCCCGTAGGTGGCCGCGCTGTGACCGCTGTCCTGGCCCGCAGGACCGGCGCTGCGCAGGGAGCGGGGCCAACTGCAAGGGAGCGGTTTTCCCGGGTCTCTGATCCAGCTGCTGTAAGAGTTGGGGTTCCCAGCAGGCTGTGCGTCTGGCCACAGTGCCAGCACTCTGCTCCAGCTCGGGCTGAGCGCGTGCCAGCTGTCCTCACCCATGCCGATCCGGAGCCTGGCTCCGCGGGCAGTGACAGCAAAGGGAAGCTTTTTTTTCTTTCGTTCTGTTTTTTTTTGTTTGTTTTTTTTTGCTCCAGAGCAAAATGTGTTCCCCCCGGTTTCTGGGAAAGTCATTGCCAGGAAAAAGGTTAAAGACCAACTGGAGAAATCGAACCTCCCCTCTCCCTGCTACCCTTGCCAAAGAGCTCCGAGAGCTCGTTAGAAACGAATCTCTGGTTGATTTTTACGGGCTTGCGGTGTAACATGCTTGCGCAGGCTTTTGAAGTCTGTGTGTGTGATAGCTGGCCAGTCCGGCCCAGTGCGAGCTGAAGGCACGTGTACCGTTTCCCTGTGAGGGGAGGCTCCTGATGTTTCTGAATGTTTCGCGTCACAGGATGGAGCGGGGCGAGGCAGCGATGGAGT